TACTGTTTTTATGAGTGCAAATGAAGTAATTATGCCTTGTTGACTTGCCTTTCTAGAAAAGACTAGTTTGCTACCTTGTCACCTTTGACCTTTGAATAGAGATACATTTTCCTGAACCAACACATCTTGTTGGCTGCTTCCCTTGCTAAGCTCTGGTGTCATAAAAGGATCGTGAACAGTTAGGCAGGACAATATTCTACCAGTATTTCTACAGAATTTTTAAACATCTGTAGGGTCATAATAGGTGTTAGTATCATTGGAGAAAACTTAATCCAGGCCAGAATGACAAGAGGTGCATTAATTAAATCTCGCTTTCAAAGCCTTCTTGGAGTCGAGAGTGATCACAAACAGATGGTTCTCCCTAATTGCTTGTTTGCTTACCTACCACCAGGAGGTCTACAGACTTAATTCAGTTTTCACCCTAAAAAGCAATTTCTAGCATGTAGTGACATAACAACAAATGTTTTATATATACAAGTAATGTAATGTATATAATACAATGTTATTTAAGTTTGCAGTTGTAAGGATGTCACTGATTTTCTTCGACCTGATCCATTTGTTCAGTTTTGTGCTCAGCAATGGCATAGAACTTTGAAGCCTATAAGAGTTTGGTGACAGAAGTTTCCATTATCGTCCAGAGCTTTATGCATAGCCAGCATGAGGCCTCTTGTCATGCTCTGCAGCATTTTCTGAATGCACGTGTCACTCTCTACATTTCCTTCAGGAAGAGGAGGGTCATGCCCAGTATTATTCACATAGGTTGGCATTACAGTGCTTAATCCATTACAACTGGATTTCGATCTCGGTACTTTTTAAAGTAGTTTCTTTCCTGCAATTCTGTAAGGCCAAGTTTCATATTCACCTTTCTTAATGCTGCTCTAGAATGTCTTGTTGCTTGATAGTTCTGGATTAATTTTGACTTTGGAAAGTTTGTTTTTCATTTTTGGATCTCTCCCCTTTATATTATAATTTCTATGGTACCGAGGAAGAAAGGTTTATCCTGTAACAAGGGTTGGAGTGACTTCTTTGTTCATCTCTATCCCAACTCTAGCATTTTTTTTTTTTTTTTTTTTTTTTTTTTTTTTTTTTGTACTGTTCCTAGGTTCAATTCCCAGGCAGGATGTGGCAGTTAGGCACATATTCTTACAACTAATACTGTACTGCTGTTTACCAAACAGCAAAAACGTTTTTGTCTGGTAAACGGCAAAAACATTTACTGAATATTTAGGTAAATGTTAGTGGTTGCAGCCTGGGTGAGAACAGTTGTTGGTCAACAAGGTCCTGGATTAGCCTAACAGGTTTTCTGTCCTCGACAGTAGGAAATAAATGTCGTAAAACTGCTCAGTCTTGGCATAGTTGTGCCATGGAAATTAAATAAGTATTTTCTTACAGGTGGCCCTCCAGCTGAATGATACTCACCCCTCATTAGCCATTCCTGAGCTGATGCGCATCCTTGTTGACATTGAAGGACTTACATGGGCCCGTGCCTGGGACATCTGTGTAAGGACTTGTGCGTACACCAACCACACAGTTTTGCCTGAAGCTCTCGAACGGTGGCCAGTAAGTATGTTGGAACATATACTTCCCAGGCACTTGCAGATCATCTATGAGATTAACCATCTTCATCTACAAGAAGTTGCAAGGAGGTAACTAAAATATTGTACCCTGTTATTGTAAAAATGCAGCATTTATTCATATTTGGGTGACTTTGTGCAGGCATCTAGCTTTTGTCAGCTGGTTAAAAAGTCAAATTTATTCATTCACACATTTAATATTTTTTACTGGAATTTAATGAGTACAAAAGTTTATATTACACTTACAACTACTGGATAATTTGTTATTACTGCAAATTAACAATACCGTTCTATCTTCATCTCATAGGTGGCCAGGTGATAACAATCGTCTAGGAAACATGTCTCTTGTAGAAGAATATGGTGAGAAGAGAATCAACATGGCCCACCTGTGTATTGTTGGATCTCATGCTGTGAATGGTGTTGCAGCAATTCACTCTGAAATTATCAAGCGGGATATTTTCAAGGATTTTGCTGAAATGAGTCCTGAAAAGTTCCAGAACAAAACTAATGGCATCACTCCTCGCCGCTGGCTACTGCTGTGTAACCCAGCCCTTGCTGATGTTATTGCAGAGAAGATTGGTGAAGATTGGGTAGTCCACTTAGATCAGCTAGCTAGGCTCAAACCTTTGGTGAATGACAGTGGACTTATCCGTGCTGTCCAGACAGCCAAGCAGGAGAACAAGCTACGGCTAGCAAAACAATTGGAACAAGAATATGGTATCAAAATAAACCCTTCTTCTATGTTTGATATTCAAGTTAAACGGATTCATGAGTACAAGCGTCAGCTTCTAAACTGCCTCCATATCATTACCATGTATAATCGTATCAAGGCTAATCCAAGTGCTAAATTTGTACCTCGCACTGTAATGATTGGTGGGAAGGCTGCACCTGGCTATCACACGGCCAAGCAAATTATTCGTCTCATCTGCTCTGTTGCTCGAGTTGTCAACAATGATCCCATCATAGGTGACAAACTCAAGGTTATCTATTTGGAAAACTACCGTGTTACTTTAGCTGAGAAAATTATCCCAGCTGCAGACCTATCTGAGCAGATTTCCACTGCTGGCACAGAAGCATCTGGCACTGGCAATATGAAGTTTATGCTTAATGGAGCCCTCACAATTGGCACACTAGATGGTGCTAATATTGAAATGATGGAGGAGATGGGTAAGGAAAACATCTTCATTTTTGGTATGAATGTTGATGAGGTTGAAGCACTTAAATGCAAGGGTTACAATGCTTATGACTACTACAACAATATACCCGAGCTTCGCCAGTGTATTGATCAGATTCAGAGTGGATTCTTTTCTCCAAATAATCCTGACCAGTTTAAGGATTTGGTAAATATTCTCATGCACCATGATCGTTTCTACCTCTTTGCCGACTTTGAATCCTACATAAAGTGCCAAGATTCTGTAAACAAGCTGTACCAGAAACCAACAGAATGGACCAAGAAGGCCCTTCTCAACATTGCATCGTCAGGAAAGTTCTCTAGTGATCGTACAATTGCAGAGTATGGAAGAGAGATCTGGGGAGTAGAACCATCCTGGGAAAAGCTTCCAGCTCCCCACGAGCCTCGTGAAACAGACACTGCAGAGAAGTAAGGTTATTCAAGAGACAGATTATAAGGAATTATGTACGATAGGTAGTTGTGGGACTTTGAGGAAATAGAGGCTTGTAAATCAAACACTTGATATAAACATTCATATAAAGGAAATGACAAAAGTTATGTTTAATCTTGAGTAACTTGTCCATTTATAAATGTCATATATGAATAATGCCTAAATATTTGCTTCCTGTTAGAAATGGAAAAGCATAAGAGATTGTCACTTTGGATTAGTTACTGGTTAAAGTGTTTGTCTTGAGCACTTTTGTGTCACCTAGTCACTGATGCTCACTTTCATAGGCTAGCTGCTTGATCAAAACTGTTTTGTGCCAATAATGTAATTTTATGTTTAACTTGCATAATATTCCAAAACAAAATTTAATTTCAAGTCCTACAAATTTGACTACTTATTTTTCTGAACAAAGTAATATGTACTACAGAAAATTTTTAATGTGGAACTTGTGTATAATGAAATTTATTGTATTATATTTTATAATTATTAAAGCTGTTTCCACTGGGATATTTATGATAAATTTTATATTTAATTTTTTCTGCCTTGCAGAATAAAGATAGGTCTTGGAAATATTATTTATTTCACCTCTGAATTTACTTTTAAATATTTAATTAACATTATTCTTTAATAATGATAATACAACCCAATCATTAAATATGGTACTAAAATATTGTTTTCCATGCAGTACATTGCTCACTGACTAGTGTGTTAGCAGCAGGTCTTAAGTATAATTGCATAGAGGTGTAGCATAACCTCAAACAATTTTCTGAAACCTGACCTGTTTTGGACCATAAGGATTCCATTCTACATATTTTTGGCATTTTTTGCCAACAAAAAATTTTCTTGCTGCAAAGGATGGGTATCTTTCTACATTCTGTACAAATTCATTAAAGACAGTGCCTTGGGTGTTGGGAGCTAAAGTGTTTGTGATACGAATAGTAGATATTTAGGAATCCAGTTTGGGGACCCATTTTTATCAATCGAATAATCTGCGAGAGACATCTCCCGTCACGCAGAGTGCAGTCGCACCTCCACAGATCTCCAGTATCATCTATTGATACTGGCAATGGCTCAAGAGGACCTCCACTTATGGGCTATTCATGCCCATGCCACCTTTTGGGTGGCTTAATCTTCATCAATTATCGAATAGTTTCAAAGAAAGTAGCTAAAAGGTACTCATCGTCGTACAATCGTCAAATAGTTTCAAAGGAAGTAGCTAAAAGGTACTCATCAATGCTTACCAGTATCATAATATATCATATCGAATAGTTTCAAAGGAAGTAGCTAAAAGGTACTCATCAATGCTTACCAGTATCATAAGAAAAGCAAAACTTGCATGTTATGTGAATAGATTCAATGAAGCAAAAAGCAACATGAAAAGCACTTGGGAAAACAATCTCTAGTATCCTAGGAACTAAACAGCATTCACATAACCAAATAAAACTCTACAAGGATGGGGATATACCGTCAACTGATTTAGAAATGGCAAATGACTTTAATAGTTTCTTTTCATCGGTTGGTGCTAATCTTGCCGGTAAAATCCCACAGACTCAGACACGTATTAACACATCTCTCAGGCAGCTATCCAAACTCTCTTCTTTCACCAATCAGCCCGGCAGATGTTGTGTCCATCATACACTTTCTAAAAACCAAGGCAGGGAACACCAGTGAAATTCCGTCCATTGTATACAAGAGCACCTCCCATGCCCTTGCCCCACCCATAGCTCTACTGTTCAACAAATCTATAGTGTCACACCTTCCCTGATATCCTTAAAAAAGCAAGAGTAACGCCAGTCCATGAAGGAGGCAATCCGGCGGACATAAACAATTATAGACCAATATCAAACCTACCCATTCTATCAAAAATATTTGAAAAAATTATCTACAAACAGCTCTACTCCTACCTCGTAAAATTCGATATACTCAGCCCCTGCCAGTTTGGCTTCCGGTCCCAATAGAGCACCAATGATGCAATCATTAGTCTCCTTGACGTAATCTACTCAGCCCTTGACAAAAATGAGTTTCCGATTGGACTCTTCATTGATCTAAGAAAAGCCTTTGATACTGTTAATCACAACTACCTCTTACTTTAACTCCAGCATTATGGAATCCAAGACCTTGCCTTTTACTACATCCGATCCTATCTTAGTGACAGACACCAATATGTGACCATCAATGATACAACTTCTTCCACTCTACCAATTACCGTCGGAGTGCCACAGGGCAGTATCTTAGGACCTCTTCTATTTCTTATACTGTATATATAAACGATCTGCCTAATGTCTCTAATATTCTTAAACCTATATTGTTTGCTGACGATACTACCCTTATCTATTCAGACCTCAACCCATACACTAAATGGCCTCTGCTTTGAAACAAAGCGGAGATGTTTCTGAAAAGGGGGACAAAGAAACATTTGCGCAGCGCCTTCTGCGGACTGCGCGGGAAGTTCTGGGAGCTTATAAATTGGGGTGGAACGAGAGGCTCTCACGGGAGACATATCCCGTCACGCAGGGTGCAGTTGCACCTCCACAGATCTCCAGTATCAGCTCTTGATACTGGTAATGGCTCAAAAGGGCCACCACTTACGGGCTATTCATGCCCGTGCCACCTTTTGGATGGCTTAATCTTCATCTTGGACATATCTCCCGTCACGCAGGGTGCAGTTGCACCTCCACAGATCTCCAGTATCATCTATTGATACTGGTGATGGCTCAAAAGGGCCACCACTTACGGGCTATTCATGCCCGTGCCACCTTTTGGATGGCTTAATCTTCATCTTGGACATATCTCCCGTCACGCAGGGTGCAGTTGCACCTCCACAGATCTCCAGTATCATCTATTGATACTGGTGATGGCTCAAAAGGGCCACCACTTACGGGCTATTCATGCCCGTGCCACCTTTTGGGTGGCTTAATCTTCATCAATCGAGAGGCTCTGCCTCACTCTTACCGCCAAGGCAGCTTCACTCGAAACAAGTTTCGAGCTGCAGCTGCGAGTGAAACAAGTTTCGAAACAAGTTACATGATGGCAAGTTTCTTGGCCTATTCCTAGACAAGACTCAACTTCAGCACCCACATTCAACACATAACTAAGAAAGTCTCTAAGACAGTTGATATGCTCTCTAAAATAAGATATTATGTTCCTAACTCTGTTATCTCACTATATTATGCACTAATCTACCCCTATCTTAATTATGGTATCTGTGCATGGGGGTCTACCACTGCAAGCCACCTTAAGCCCATCATCACCCAGCAAAAATCTGCTATCAGAATAATAACTAACTCTGCTTTCAGACAACACTCAGCTCCCTTGTTTAAATCCCTAAACTTGCTAAATATTAACTCCCTCCACACATTCTCTTGTGTCAATTACATCTACAAAACCCTGTTCTTAAATGCAAACCATGCTCTGAAACTCTCCTTGGACAGATGTAATAGGACCCATTATCACCACACCAAAAATAAATATCTTTTTGATATCCCCAGGGTCAAACTTAATCTGTGTAAACACTCTATGCAAATTAAGGGACCTAGTCTATGGAACTCACTCCCTAGTGAATTGAAAAGCTGTCAAACTTTTGCCATATTTAAAAGCAAAACCAAAAAGTACCTAATTTCATCTTCTTAGTTTCCTACACTGAGCTTTAAATTTGCTCTGTACCTAGTGTTTCCAATCTCCCAATTTTTATGTATTTAACCCAAACAACCTTATCATTGTGTTCATTGCTGTCTTCTTTTATGTGCTAGCCATATGCTGTATTGTGCCTACCAATTTTTGTCAACTACCATTCACGCTGTCATTGCAATCAATCTGAGCTACCTATGTGAGTCAGCTATTGTTCTTACGGTTACGCACCGTTGCCCACTCATGTCGTCGAGACAAAAAATATTTGTATAAAATCCATTTATTATCCGATCAACTTGGGGATAGTTTACAAATGTTTGCCATGAAATTTACGTTTTCTCTAATAGCCGAACAGCTTATTAAAGAGAACGGCGTGACAGTGAATCTTCGTGGTAAAACAATTGTATTATTGACAACACGAGTATAATCGCCGTATTTTTATATATGTTGCCGGTCGAACGCATCCTTATGTGACCTTTAATACTTATGTTCTTATAGAACATTCTTTTGCGAACACATTGGAACAAAAATGAAATACATACATCGAAAAATAATGTCAGGACAGTGAATTGAATATACACTTTTCAAAGCGAGTTTCGCCGATATGCCGCCGCGGGTAACACTTCAGCCACTTCCCACACTGTTTTGAGTGGGCTACGACATTGAATCTATATTTATATGCATATGTCCGTGTAGAGAATTTTATTGCGATTTCAATGATACCAAAATTAACGCTGTAGCACAACTGTGGGCTTCACAACTATTAAGAGATTGGGAACATTTTGTTGCCGTTTGGCGCTCTAGGCAAGTGATCTGAATAGGTTTTTATTTGGTGTTGATATACCTTATGCTTTGGCGGCATTTTATAGGTATGTTCTTATAGACAATTCTATTGCAAACACAGTGATACCAAATTTAAATACGTACGCCTACAATTAGTGTCAGGACAATCAAAAGAGTATACACTTTTCGGTCTTACCGCATAGGCGCGCGAAACGCAGATATAACATAGGGTAAGTTTTTTTCAGAAGGCAGTGAGCGCGAAAGTGATTAGCGATTATACCTACAATTTTCTCTCATCTTTTTTTTTCTTTTTTTCTTGCCTTGTAACTGTTATAATTTTTTATAAATTTTGCAAGTATTTACCTCCTTAAAATTTTCTTAGATTAAGGACCTGCCCGAAACGCTGCGCGAACTAGTGGCTTTACAAGATTGTAATTACCATATTATGTATCCTCACAATCCTAATGTACCTTCTTGTATATGCATAAATAAATAAATATATTTTTTTTACGGGCTATTCATGCCCGTGCCACCTCTTGGGTGTCTAAATCTTAATCAATCAATCAATCGAATATTCTTCAGTTTACTTTCAAGAGTGGTTAGTTACAGACGCTTGAGAGATACCACACATCACCAACCTCACCAACAACAATGTAGCACTCTACGTGTCCAGTTCCTACCGACTCAGACACTTCAGCTTTGACACAGGCAGACAGCCAGACTCCGGCCGCATCGAGCTTACACGTTCTTGGAAGCTCCTCGACGGCTCGACTTCGCCCACTTTCAGAGCGCCACGCTCTACGACTCTCACCCCACATCTGAGCTCTCTACCCCTGGCCTCACTCAGCCCTCTGCATGCTCTCTACCTCCAGCCCTTCGCTCCTCCTCCAGAATTTTAACTTCTATGACACTGCTAACAAACCGACTGCTGTAACCAGGATTACTAAATAAATATGACAAACCCACTAAACTCTGTGTATCTAAATCCACCAAATAACGTAACATAAGCCTTTGACAAGGTACCATATGAGAGACTGTCAAAGAAATTAAAGGAACATGGAATAAATGGGAGAATACTGGAATGAATAAAGAAATGGTTAAAACATTAAAAACAAAGGGTCATGCTAAATGGAAATGAATCTGACTGGTTAAATGTGCTA